ATGCCTGCTACACTAGAAAATGAAAAACAGATCATTATCAAGCTATAACATGAACAGTGTATTATTATAATGAGATTTTTCCCTTTATGAAAAGATATTTTCATGTGATTATGGCATAAACTTGTCATACTACAACAATTAACGTTCCTTGTAACAAAATACTGTATGTTTTTATAAAGTTAAATGCTTCAAGTTATAACAAGATAACTTATTGACTTATTTATATACGTACAGGAAGTGTAAATTGAGAAATATGGCTCATGTTTACAAGTTAATTCAACCTTTTGTTTGAGCTGAAAGATGGCAAGATCCTGCTGTTATTGAGCACAATGGATGAATCTGGATAATACTGTGACATGTATGTATATACAATATGATGTCTGTATCATCCTTTGTGTAACAAGAAAATGCAGCATGCAAGCAAAGTCTTTTTTTGAGTTAGAGAAAAAGTTCCAAAAAAATGACATTCTGTTGCTCTGGTAAGAAGAAGAATTTCATTTTGACAATTGAGTTAAAAAAGTTTTTGAGCTGTTTAACTGGTGACAAAGTCTTAACCACTGACTTAAATCTACACTTCAGTCAGGAAATGCCACAGATGACAAAATAAATAAGCGGCTAGATTCTGGCGTGTCTGCTAAAAACGTTTCCAGGCTCTTAAATGTCCACAGCTCCTCTATTTGTTGTCAAAGAAATCATTTGGATGGACGAGTCCAACGACGTGGGGCAACATTCCACAAATTACCATCAATAACCTCGTTAACTTTGTGCGTCACAGATGTGTCGCACTACGCAATGCAGAAAGTGGACACCCTGACTTGATTTTTCTGCTTTATGACCCCACTCTCAATGGGCCCAAAATAATTTCCATTTGAGTCGCACTTAGTTGTTTTATGACGTCCATTCTGTTGTAAAGATGCCATTTGTTGGCAAAACAAATACTAATTCCAATGCTAAAAACAACAGACTTTGACAAAATATTCAAAGTTGTCTTTTTGTTCAGTGTAGTATATTGTTATAAGGTGGAAATATGTTTTTACAACGACAACATTTTCACACTGTAACATGATATTGATCTGTCAGCTGCCTCTTTCTGGTCAAACACTCTGCTTAACGACCAAACACCTGCAAAACTAAGAACATCCCCATCAGCCGCAGCTGCTGTTTTGCGCTCAGCCTTGGCTCGGCTTCACAGAGCGTCCAGCACGGCTGCAGACTCCGAGCTGCAGACTCCGAGCTGCTTCCATTTACTCATCATCTCTCAGTATTTTCTGATGCAGCAAAGCCAGTCAGCAGCTGTCTTCTACCTGAGAATTTCTTGTACCTGCGGTGAATTTCAAATGACTCCTAGTTCATGTTTGGCGGTCACCTGTCCGCTGTTCACAGAGCGAGGAAACCTGGCGTTACGCTCTCTGGACAATTGTACATGAGGAAAAAAAATAAAAAATCTCGCGCTTCACAGAGAGCTGGGGAATAAGCAGTTGACGTACGTAATAGAGAGGTAAGCACAGGCCATAAAAAATGTAGACTTGTGATGACTCCCTGGCTGAGCCCTCAGGCAAGACAGCTACAAGTTAATAACGCAGAGTAATTTGCTGAATGGGTCTGTAATGGCGATCTGCAAAGGAACATACTCTCTTCAGAATGAATATTGGATAGCTTTCAAGCTCATCTATGATTTGGACTTCATTTCATCCACTCATAATCTTCTCTCAATCAACTTGTGCTCGGCGTTATCCTCTGGTTTCCTGCAGAGCTGTCAGAGGCGCTTCAGAGCACTGCTGACCTGTCTGTGAACTAAATGAAATACCACAAATTACGACAGGCAAGTAGCTATACGGTAGAAAGACAGGAGAAAAGTTGGAGTTGAAGGAGTGACCCCATCCGATGTATCTTTGCCTGTTCACATTTCTGGTCTCTCTAATCTTCGTCCAATTTCCTACATTTTTTTTCCAGGTTAGCTGGCCTCTCCCATCTTATCTTTACACCTCACATCTAACTTCCTCTCCCACTGTTTTCCCCTCAGCTATCGTCTCCCTTCTGCGGCCGAAACGCAGCAATTATTCATATGTATCGACTGGTATCTCCTTAGAACAGATCACTCATTCTTCTCCCTCCTTCACACACAATCTCCCTCACGCTCGCTCACTATCTGCTTCTCTCCTCTCTATCTCGTGTTGTTTTGAGTCATTATTCTTCAGCATGTACGGCTCTGAAACTTACATGCCCCCCCGATGGTTTGAGTCTGAGTTCACGCTTTGAAGTGGGGATGTGTAAGAGATATATCTCAAAGTACAGCAGCTGAGTCTCTCTATTTTAAACAACATCCCTGGTGTCTGGGAGAAAAAAAAGCTTGAAGACTGAGGCCCTGATTTTCTGGAGCACTGCTTCTTTTTTTTTCTTTTTTTTTTGTGCCTAGTTTCTGTTTATTTTAGCTTTTGATACAGTAAAATGGTTTGGTTTTAGATAAATACCCTCACATAATTATCACCTGGAGTGTGAATGTAATGTGATTTAAAAAAAAAAAAAAAAAGACAAATAGCTAGGGGTTATTTGTGAGCAGACGCAAACTAAACCAGTTTGTGGGGGTGAATTTAATTTGTTGGAAGGGCAGCGCGGAATCTTATCAGCCACTAATGATGGCAACACTGCTGCGAAGAGATATTGACTTGTTTTGGGAATTAAGATGTGTGTGTGTGTGTGTCGACTCTCATTTGAACCGTATCGTTGTGAGAAGCAATTGAGTTTTACACTTTCAGAGAACCGGCCGGTCCTCTTCTTTTAAGGTTTGGACTTTCAGGGTTAGGTTGGAAATGGGAATATTTTACCATAAGAACAAAAACAAAATAAGCATTTGCTCAAATTTGCATGCATATGGGAGATGATCAGTCAATTTATTTATATGATTGTGGGAACGGATTAATTCTTTACGCTATTTATAAAGTGAAATGACCGAAAATTGGGTCAATATGACTTCACAAATACAGGGATTGCTTTGTGATTGGTTTTTAGCTGCGGTAGCTGCATGGATTTAAGGATCCCTTTACTTTTTATCCAGCACCATTGTCATGTCATAATTTAAATTTGTCCAGTAATGAATACAGACCTCTTCTGATTAAAAAGCACATTTCTTGTCTTTGTTACAACCTTGTCCATATGGGTTTTTTTTTTTATATGTCTTTCTGCATGACTTTTGGTTTTGCTTCTGGTTCAAACATGTATGACTGAATTACAAGTTGTCATTGTGTAGTTCAGCTTCACAGTGTTTGAGCAGAGTCATAGGTGAGCTGATCTGCTTGAGCTGCATCAAGTGAGGACGGGTGAGTGAATAAATAAATCTGCACAGTCTAGATGAAGCAACAGTAGAGGTACATCTAAGTCATTTTAGGCATGAAGGAATTATTTTCGAAACTTCTAGCTCTGTAACGTTGATACACAGAGATGAACTTTTAGGGATTTAATCTACGACCGAAGAGGGACTTTAAATTCTTCCAAACTGAATGACATTTCCACCGAGCTCAGATGTGCTTTAGGCTTAGAGCTAATCAGTTAATGTGAACCTAAGATGGTCACGGCAGACATTATACCAGCATGTTCTGAGCACAACATTAGTATCAGCTAACTGCAGCCTAACAGACTCACCAGCATGGCTGTCTTTATTAATAATCTGTTTGGTTTATTTTTTAATGTAAATGAAAAAAACAACAACTTTGGGGTCAGTGAGACCAAATTAATGAATTCCTGTGGGATCTAATTTTTAAAGGACTACTAGAATTATTCGTGGCATTTATAGCATCGATAGATAATTATTTAAAACATAATCCTTAGTTGCAGCTGCACACACATGCATGCAACTTCTCCTGTGAGCCTAATAGAGCGGTTATCTGTATCTGTGCCCATGCTGTATGTGTTTGTCTGTTGTGGGTAAAAGATACTAGAAGCGCAGGTAGTTATCTTCGAGTGATGATTCCTATTCATTTTAAACGCAGTCTGACAGCCAGATAAAAGAAAACAGGGGTCCAGAGTTGATTACAGGCAACGATTCTCGCCCAGATATGCTGCTACGTAACTGATGAACACATTGTTAGACTGTGAGAAGAATATAAAAAGACTGAAAAGAGTTCAAAGCAGAACTGCTGCTCTGGGAGAAAAATTACAGGACAGTGTACTTTATTCAACACGCTGCTTTCACTGATTGCACCTCCACTTCAGCTCCAACTGTTTTCCATTCTGTGCGTTTGTCGCACAAGGCTTTTCTCTCATTGCTTTATGAATGCTCCAACACCAAAATCAATGAAATTCCTTATGTTTTTGTGATCTTCTTTTGAATTTGCCGTCTCCACACACCATGTGACACTTCACTTTGAGAGTATGCTGCCTTTTTTTCTTTTTTATCTCCACATTTTCCTCCCAACACAGAGAGACAAAGAGACGCTGTGTGATACTGGAGATAGTCCGACTGATTCAAGGCCGCACAAAAACCTTCGAGGCTGGGAAATCAACAAGCGTCACCATAGCAACCCCCTCAGGGAATCTGCGGCTCAGTCCACAGTGGATCTGACTCTTGATCAGCCGACAGCGATCGTCTCCAGAGGTGTGGGTGTCGAGGTCCATGTGAGAGGGCAGCTTGAGTCAGGGATGATCACAGGCGTGTTGTAATTTATCTGTGCTGGCTGGTGGCTCTCAGCTCCTCAGCATGGGTGGCACACTGCTACATTATTCATCAGACAGATGACTGGCTGTGGCAGGACGCCGAGCCAGGAGGTGTGTGTGTGTTTTGTGCTTGTGTGTCGTGAAAGAGAGACAGATTATAAAAAAAAAAATAAAAAAAATTTGAAGAGAGGTTTGTAGTGCATGTGTGGAAATAGCGAAAAATGTTTTTACGGCGTCTGCGAGAGGGTGCGTGACTGCGGCAGCTTTCGTTTCATTACATAAATTGCATCTCATATTCTGTGTTTGGCCTCTAATTCAAAAATCTGATCTTGGCTGCTGTTCCAACCCACCTGGATGTGTTCTCCAGAGTGCTGCGGACTTCGCTCATCTGCTCTTTCCCAAAATACACCACTGTCAGATGGACTTGGCCGTCCTGACGCACACAGACTTCCCTGTACAGACACACAAACACACAAAGGAAGGGACGTCAGGGATGAAAGCGTAGTCCGAATTAAGAAGTGGGAGGGGGATTGGAGGAAGGAAGAGCGCAGGGTTCAAATAAGGGGTCTGTTTGGATGCTTTAATCCTGCTAATGCTGAAACAATTAGTCAAACTCCGATAACTATTCAGAACAAAAGTACTTGCTGATTTACTTTATATTCTAAAATGTAAGGATTTTCCTTTTTGTTCTGTTTCAGACAGTTATAAATTCAATGTCTTGGGGTTTTGGACTGACACTTGGACAAAACATGAATAAAAAGCTGGTTCTGGTAGATAATTCATGGAGGAATTAATTGAGAGTGAAAATTAACTTAATTTTCAGATATATTCCTGGCTCTTCCCACTGTGGCACATATTAAGGCACAGAGGGAGATTATGTGTGAGTCAAAGAGAGACCAGGTGGAGTTGCCTGAAGGCGCCCTGATGGAGATATGTCAGATATATCACACACATGCTGCAGATAATTCACCCCTCCCACGAGACTCTCGCACATTATGCACAGATGTGAACACACATTTGTCAGACTTTTCCCCAGAAGCACATGGGGGAAATAAATTCTCATAAAAGTCAACTAGATGAGCACAAGATGATTAAAAATGAACTACGTGCAGAGGATACTGAATACTCATGAATAATACAATTTTTTCCTGTCATTATAGAAGCTGTTGTATAAAAGTCTCTCTCTAAATGCCGGCATTATTAAAGTAAATTGATTTTTTGCTAGGATCTGATGAGGCATTCTGCAGTTTGTCACTGGGACCAGAGAGCACAAAAAATCTGTTATAATTATTTTATCATGCAACATTCTCATTTTAAAATCCACAGTTCCTGTCTGCGCAATTTGCAGCTGGTGTGAATACACATTTTATCTCCGCATTCGGCATTTTAGCATCAAAAATGCTGTTATTTTCCAGCCCGACTGTGAATATAGAAATTGTAATAAGCACGCAGTCACTCAATGTTATCATCCCTAAACATTCCCTCACAAATACCAGCGCACATGGTTTCCGTTAGTGCACCTTTAATATGGATGAGCGTAAAGTGTTTGCTCAGCGACTCGCCAAGTCTTTCAAGTAAGTACACTTCTTGCCACGCTGTATATCAACCACTGCTGGTCTGCCCAGGGGGGCACTTTAATGGGCTGCAACACTGCTACTAAGCAGGATTTACCATGTAAAAAGAGCTGTGATAAGCAGCAGCGGGAGCACAATAAATCACAGACATTAAGGAGGACATTTCCTCAACTGATGGTGACTGACTGCAGAGCTGAAACAAGCACGTTTTGCTATTAGTTTCTTTGACTGCTGGTCGCGATATAAATGTGAAATTTAACCAAAGTGACAGAAGTTATTCATTTTATTTTTACCTTTCAGGGCTCTATTAACACAGATACCGACCTTTAGACTGTTTCTTCATCAAAAATCTGTCATGGTTTTGTCTCATTCACATACAAGCTTGGATCTACCAGTGAATAAATCTACACCACGTACTATATTTAAGATGCATGTCAGCTATACTCATCAAAAATAGTACGAAATTACGTTCCTTGTGGTCATGACCTGACTGATTAAAAAACGGAGCTGGGATCTGTACGGACATCTTTATTCATATTCTTGTCATTTAAATCACTCTAAGATTTGTTTACATTCTGATTATGCCTGCCAGCACCAAACTAAATTAACTGATAACACTACACATGCAGTTTCAAAATGTTAATTACATGTTCCTTCTCAAAAAAAAAAAAGAAGAAGAAACCTCTGATGTTAATTTTCTTTCCTCTAATCTCCTCTATTCCTTGTCCTCGTCTGCATGATCACACACTCAAATGTGAGACTGGAATTGAAACTGGGTTTTATAACACCAAGTATCATATTTTCCTGAATTAGTTACGTGTGATGAAGAGAACCAGCATGAATAATTTATTGTGGTGCTTCTGTTTATGTCACGTCGGTTGTCTGACTTGGCAATTAAAAGCTGTAAATACAGTGAGAATCCTAGAAAAGTTCACCAAGCTTCACCTGAAGTTGTGCATGAACTGTTTGAACTTGTCTGTGCGTCTGGACAGCGGGACGATGATGTTGATCGGAACACTGGATGTGTCCACCTTCTCATTTTTCACCTTCATCAGCGGTCCGAAGGGCCGGAAGAGGACCAGACGTTTGAATTCATTACTCGACTCCCCTCTGAAGGTCAGCTCGTACAGTGTCCCTTTGTCCCTCTCTGTGCGAGTGATACCTGATGGGTGAAACACAAAGACATGAACTCGTGACCAAATCAGTGTGAGCCGATAAAATATCTTACGAACTTGCCTAAAGACTGGGGTTTGTGCTAGTTTGCTATATTGCAAAGAGTTGAGAAGCTCAGTATTACAGTTACAGGAAGTCACCATGAATGCCAACATGCAATGTGACATCCTGAAGCAGACCATGATCCCCTCCCTTTGGAAACTGGACTGCAGGGCAGTATGCCAACATGATAACGACCCCAAACACACCTCCAAAACAACCACTGCCTTGCTAAAGAAGATGAGGGTGAATGTGATGGACTGGCCAAGCATGTCTCCACACCTAAACTGTATTGAGCATCTGTGGAGCATCCTCAAACGGAAGGAGGACAAGGTCTCTAACAGCCAAGAGCTCCTTGATATCATCATGGAGGTGAGGAAGAGGATTCCAGTGGTAACTTGTGAAGCTCTGGTGAACTCCATGTCCAAGAGGGTTGAGTCAGTGCTGGAAAATAATGGTAGCCACACAAAATATTGACACCTTGGGCTCAATTTAGATAATTTCACTTAGGGGTGTACTCACTTTTGTTGCCAGCAGTTTAGACATTAATGGCTGTCTACTCAGTTATTTTGAGGGGACAGTAAATTTTCACTGTTATACAAGCTGTACACCGACTACTTTACATTATAGCAAAGTGTCATTTCTTCAGTATTGTCCCATGGAAAGATATAATAAAATATTTGCAAAAATGTGATATACTGCATGTCTGTGTGTTAAATATGAAGCTGCAGCCAAGAGATGGTTGCCATAAAAACTGTTGGTGAAAACAGACATGCTGTGGCTATGTTTGCAATCACGCTCTGTTTACTCCACAGTGGACAACATTAACCGTCACATTTTCTAAGTGTTCGAACTCTTTTTATATTCAGCTCAAAAATTCCACAGAAACTAGTTTCCACAACGTGTACACGCCTTTCTGGAACAATCGCACAATGCAACGTACTGCATTTTATAGAATGACCGCAAACTGTACAAAAGGTGAACAAAGCCATCATGGCATCTCCCGTTGGTTGGCGGGCTACCACCGAGTCTGAAATGTCGCCGTCGCCATCTTGGTCTTGGTAAATCACAAGGCAGCCCAACTATAAAAATGGCCCTGTTTTATTGCCTATTGTACTTTAAATGGGACCATAATTTACAAAATGAGGACCACGCTGTATTCAAAAAGTCTTGAGACTAGCGACTGAGGCCATAAACCAATTAGAAAACATGTGCTGACGTGTCAAATCGAGAGAGAGAAGTAGGGTCGTTATCTCAGACTTCATTCTGCAACCAGAGTCGCTGCCTCCTGCTGGCAGGTAGAAAAACGTAGGTTCAAAGCGCTTGCGAGTTGGCTTCACTTTTACAGACCCAGAGGCTACATCCATCTTTTATGTGCAATCTATGAGAATGACCAATGCACAGCTCAGCAACTGTCAGTGATGACTGAAATGTCAATGCCTATGGCCCTGCCCAAAGGTAAAACAACACTAAGAGTCTAGACAGCCATGCTAGCAGCAATATGAGGCTGTACTTATTCTGGTATTGGACAAAATTAAAAAGTCAAGAATTGGATTCAGCTGAATCATAAATTAGGGGATCAGCAAAACTACCACAAGTCATCACAGGGGGGATATAAATGTCTGTACAAAAGTTATAGAGCAGTGCAGCTAAGATGAAATTGTCCTTTCATTATCTCTAAACCTCATGAATCAACATTTGATTTAGTTCCTATTTTAGCCACAAGTGTAAAAGTCATAAGTTGAGGTTTCTAATTTGTGTACAACCTGCCTCTGTTTTTGTACAGATTAGCCAGGCCAGCTGTTTTCCTCTGCTTCCAGGCTGGCTAACAATCTCCATGCTCTTGCTCTATATTTACTTTATAGATATGAAAGTGGCTTTAATCTTTTCATCTCACACTCGAAAACAAAGCAACCAAGATTTCCCAAAATACCAACCTATTCCTGTAACCATGCGCTGAACTTCTCATAACTTTAGGGGGAGTACTTAAATATCAACACATACACAGAGATGTATGAACATATTATAAATTGACAAATAAATGTCACCCCGGACTGGACTCTTGTTGTTTATGTCAGCTTTTGAAGTCAGATTTTAGTTTGTATGTGTGAAGTTCTTTGTGTCTTCCTTTGTCGCAGCTGACTTTATTTTCCTCGCTTTCTCCAGGGTGCGGCTTTTGTTGAAACCCCGTGAGATTTCTGTGTTTCTAGATGCCAAGGATCATGTTTTTAACATCTAATTCTAAAAATTAAACCAAAAAAAATGAAACATTTTCAAAGGAGCACTATTTTTAATACAAGCATCGTCATTATTTCTTTGTGCGTCTGCCGTCAGCTCCATGTGACGGGCTGACACGTTTTATGTGGGAAAAGAAAGGAGGCTTATGAGGCAGCATGAGATATTGTTCATGCACTCTGCTGCTGTTCGGCCAAAAGCCATAACTGTATATACACATGGAACACACACACACACACACACACTGAAAGCGAGGCTATTCTGGTCATCAGAACCAATTTTCTTGCTGCAGGCCTTACGTCAGCTTGTTCCCCCAGAGAGAAGTTGTTTTCCAATTACTCTGCCATTACTAAGATTATTATTTGCAAACTGACCCAGCGAGGTTGGTGGAGAAAGA